GCTTTCTACATTTCCTTATTTTGCCCATCCTCTGCGATCTCGCGCGTCAGCGTGCCTTAAACCTATATACGACGAATCTTGTTATATTTTACGTTCTTTGAGCTGGTGCTTATGTTCTCGTGTATTTCTCTTCTTTTCTTTTTCTCCACTCTTCTTCTCCGCGCAATGTCCAACTCTCCGTCTATTTGAACAATTAGCGCAGCTCCGTGATACGTGAAGCGCTCGACGCGTCTATTTAATGCTCACTTAACTCACTTTTCTCCCACCGGATCCAATGAACGTAACAAAAGAATAAAGGCAACAGAAGTTGCCTGTGAAGCTATGAGCATGGAGCGTTTCTTTCTGTTTTTTTTCGCTTGATTATGTCGCATTTCATTCACAAAACCCTCGTAATTTCGCACAACCTTGAAAAAGAAACCTTGTCAGAATCGAAACGAAAAAATCAGGAATAGAACATCGCCGAAGAAACGCTCGTTTCTGCGTACTCGTCTCTTGCACCCATTTGAAAACAGCATCGTCCTATGTATGGTGTACGGTCTACCGATAAAATACCAATCTCTTTTTTCATAATGTGTGTGTACGTGTTTCCTTTTGCTGTTTGACTTTTCTCATATTTCGAATTATTAGTTGCCTGGATAATAACAGTTTTGGCCCGATGCATATACCTTTACCTCTTTTGCACGCGTTTATCGTTAGTCCTGGGGCGTAACGAAGCAGCTACCATTTTGTTTCGCTTGCAAGAAGTCGGCTTTGTAGCGTCGAAAATACACGCGACCGCAGTTTGTTTTACAGTACGTTTTTCTTGTCCAGGAGTGGTGACTCATTCACGTTCCGCTTTCTCATATTCCACTTTCTTTTATTGAGAACGAGCGAGGATCACCCGTCACGCGTGTACGCGTCACGAACTTAAGAATTCATGTAAGTTTATCCGCGATATAGATTAGTCGTGTATATTATTATTATTATTAGTTTCTCTTTTTTTTTCTCGTTCATTATTTGCCATTTTTATCCTTTGTGGTCATGACGAAGTATTGCTAACGTTCGTAAGAATTGACTCGTTTGTTCATTCGTTCCTCTTCATCCTTTCTTTCCTTTCTTTAGCATTTTTTTCATCGTGCGCATGCATACCCGCGCACAGGAAAACAAAATGGCCGCCGTTCGACGTGACACGCGTCCCAATTTAAAGTCATCCTTCTTCTTCAATGTTTCTTTTTTTTTTGTTCTTTGTTTTACCCTGTTATTGAATACAATAATAACCGTACCTAGAATTGTCGCACGTATATCCATTGTTTTTGTAATAATTATAATTAATTTATCGCTCGTTAACTCTCACTCAATTCAATAATTCAATATTGACAAATTCAATAATAGTAATTAATAGTATCGTATGAAAACAGTTTTTGATCAGCTATATCAACAAAATCCGAATTATAAAGTCCGCGGAATGAGTTTTTGCACGTCGACGGTTTCTTTGTTTTACTTTTTCTTTTTTATTTGTCCCCTTCAGAAGCAGGGAGGTTCGAGCGTCGCGATGCCCTTCGAGCCCCTAAATCGAACTTTCCTCAAGGGCTGGGTTAAATTTTATAAAACATACGTGCGCTAAAAAACAAAACTAATGTAATGACTCCTCCCTGTTTCCCGAACGATATTACACGCATTTAACCTAGACCAATTACGAATAATTGAATGGAGTATCCCCATTCGGGCCATTTGTCCGTCTAATTAGGGAAATACTTCGAAGCGCGAAAGAACGCAAGGATTTTTTGGTGTTCAGTCATTCCGCGAGTAAGGCTACGTTCCGCAATTTAACGATTTCTCGCGTTTACGCCAGTCCGTATAAACTTTCCAATTTCCTTCCTGTTTTTAACATCTTTTAATTCGTAAAATGACATTTTCAGGTGACCGTGTTCGTAAATCTTAAAGATTTAATGACTTTCTTTCTCTCGCTCTCGTACGCACGTATCGTCACGTTCTCTCTCATTCTTTCTCACATGCATCCGGGTTATATAGAGACGCACAACCTCGCTTCGTGTCCAAATATCATTCCCATTGCAACGCATTACTTTCACTTCCGCTTTTACTTATGCAATGGCGCATTAAATTAGCGATTCGCAATCTCGCCTTCAATTAACGCACTGTACATATACGGACGCGCGGTATAATAACTGAATACACGCATATGTGTAGATATATATTTTGTTTTTCTTTTAATGCATCTTATTTCGTGTACTTGATGGTTTGCATATATTTCTTCCTGGTGTAGCGTGGGTATGTGTGTGTATATATATATATATATATATTTCTTCTTGTATGTGTATATAGGCATGTGTGTTAGGATAATTCCTTTAAAAAGCCGCCGGCGCGTGTCACAGCATATATTATATTTGTGTTCGGAGTGTCTATGTCTCTGTGTGGAACATATGTATAGTTTGAGCGTGTACGTAGAAGTGTATGTAGAAGATATTTTATATACGTTTATTGTGAACTTGTGTGAAATGCGTGTCGGTGAACATTGCTTGTGTTTCCCTTGCAGGCTCCTTTATAGGATCATGCGTTATAGTAAATCAACGATACAATAATTCGCGTACGTGTAATATGCATGTATGCACCGAAGTTAATGCAAGTAATCGATTGGATAGCTATACAATGGCCGATTAAATTCAACGATCTTCGTTTCGGCATTGGATGAGACCAGACTTTCGACGCGACACAACGCTTGGGACATAGCGTTCTCTTACTCGATTTCGCGACCCTGTATATGTAATGTTCTCTCATTCTCTTCCTCTATCGAAAACCGTTCTTTGCGCTGGATGACTACATCTTCTTTTCTTATCAACACGCATCATCTTAAAAGCAGGTCGTATTCTTCCATTCTTCCTCTTTCCCTCATTATTTCTTCTTTTTTTTCTCTTTGTTCGTCTAACTTACATAGAGTCTCGCGAGTTTCAATCCGTCCATCTCGCTTCGCAGTCCCCGCGTTTTTTCTTCCTTTCTTTCTCTTTTTTTTTTCTTTCCTTCTATCCATCGCACGATAAGCAATGCAAACAGCGACATGTCATCCGTGTAACACGCGTGCCTAGGTCTATGTACGCAACCTCACCCTCCTCTTGCTCTTTCCGTGCTTTATTCGTCCTCTTTTCTCCCTCGTTGCACACCCGGGAAAAGGGAAAAGTGCTTCGACGACACCGCGCCGGGGCGAGCGAGAAGTGTCATTCCGGCATTCAGTCGGCAAAGAGCACGCTGAGAAGTGGCGGACACGCGCGCGCAAGAAACAAAGAAAAAGGGCGAAGCGCACTCTTGGCCTGCCTAGCGTCCTCGTTGTCTCGTATCCTAAATCCCCCCCCCCCCCC